GATTTGTTCACTAAAGCCTTTTTTACTGCAACATTTGAAAAGTTGGAATACATCATTTTAAAGATCTCTACAATGCAGTCATCAGGGAGAGTAAAATACGTACTGTACTCTTTTCCTTCATCAAGGTTTTTTCCACTGGGTTTTTCTTGATAAGGTTTTTAATGAGGCATATTCTTAATATAATGAATATTCAAGGGGGAGTGTTATGAATATTTTTGTGAATATCCATTCATGTTATCTATATCTAGATTTGATGTAAATTAGATTAGATTAGGATATAATCTATCTAATCTCTAAGTGTTATCTTCATCTTGTAATGGGGTTATTTACTTATAAATAAGCCCCCTTAGTTCATTTGTATATACACTTCAATAAGATTTCTTCTCTCCCCGTAAATACTTTCTTTCCCTTTAAATACTTTCTCTTATAGTTATTCTTTTAAATTTATTTCATAGCAATTTCTTCTTTCTCCTATTTTTTTTCTTAAATAATGTTTGCCAGCCGACCACCTCACAGCAAGTACTCTCTAAGGGTAGGAAGCACTAATTTGGTGCTCCCTCCCTTGAGAGCACTAGATTGGTGCTCCTCTCTCTTGATCGATGCTCCCCTAATTTTTTTTTCCTATGATTTTTTTTGTAAAAAAAATAGTAATTTTTAAAATTAATAAAGAGTAAAATTATGTTTTCAATATTATCATATCATCAGACTAATGAAAACACTAATGGTTCACTAACGACTGGACTTATATGTCTAACGGAATATAATTTTTTGAGATAGAATATCCATTTCAAAAATTAATAAATTCACTTAAAATTTTGATTAAAATTTAAAAAATGGGAGTATTTTACTTTATTGTTTACTTCAGTTAGTTTATTAAATAATTCTTTAGTAGTATGTAAGACTTGATAGGAAAACTAAAACAGTTTAGTAACCCCAAACTGGTTGGGTTTTGTTTGATTTTGCTACATCGAACCTTTGAAGGATCTTAAGTAGTTTTTGTTAAAGACGCTTTTCCTGCATCGCAGGCATACTCTTATGAGACTTGAGAGTCATGTTAAATCAACTAAAATGTTAAGGTGGGTTCAAACATAAGAATTGCTTAATAGTAAGATATTAAATATGGATCCAACGTGAACATATCGAAGCTAGTCTACCAGTCTAGTATGTAAACTCCATCACGTTCATGTGATGAAAACAATAGTAGCATTTCCCTATACAAATTACGAATCCCCATTACAGCTTCAGTTCTAGTTTTCAGTACTGATTTGACAATGCTTTTACGAGATGCATGCTGATTGCTGAATGAGTACACAAGCTTTTCTATTGTAGTCGCTGCGTGTACTAGCTAATAACACAAGGACAAAGGAGCCTTCAACTGCCCCTTCTTTCTCCTTTACTTACCTTCAGATACAAAAGCCATGCCAAGCGTCTCCCTCATGCTGAGTTTCTTTCAAAATATAAAGAAGGCATCAGCCCCACTGGGTCCAGCTGCACCTTTCCACACACAGACAAGGAAATAATACCCAGTTCCCCTTCCAGCTCTATTCACAAATGTTTCCTGTTAGCCCAAAAAGATGCAAATTCCCTGTCTGGTACCTGGGTCTGGGTCATCATCATGAATCAACCAATTAACAATGTTAACCATTCATTGCAATCTCAGAAGCGACAACTCTTGGCAGATTTACCATCTCAAAAATTAAACAAAAACCAACCAAAGAAGAGGATGAACTATCGTTTACACAATTTCTCCACAATCAGAGATTGGGAAAAGAAAGAATTAAAACACAAATATCAAATAATCAAAAGATATCAAGAATTTCCAAGATGAAGCCATTGCACAGCGGGCAGTTCCCTCGCTGAACCCAAAGCTCCCTTGAACAAAGCCGACAAAACGTATGCCCGCATGGAATAAACGCCGCACCTTTATGCCTAACCATGCACACGCAACACGTGTACTCGATCCCACCGCTCGCTTCCGCTACTTCCTCCTCGTCGTCCTCCTCTTCCTCATCGTAATCGTCGTCGTCCTCGCCCATCGTGTATCTCGATCCCGTTTCCTCCAACAAATCCATCAATGACATCCTCACCGGCTCCTCAGCAGCAACAGCGGGCACCTCGTTTTCTGCCGCTGCTTGTTCCGCGGCTGCAGCTGCGGCAGCCGCTTCCGCTGCTTCCTGTGCAGCCACCGCTTCTCTTGCAGACAATGCCCTCTCCTCCGCCAATGCCGCTCCCAGCCGATGCGTTCCATCACGCGCCTCCGGAGAGTTATCGTCGCTACTGTTGTCATCGTCGTACGAGGCAGCGTTCGAGGAAGGAAAACGGGTCGAACAATGGCGGGCAATTTGCGGCCTGAAGCTTCTCGACGGTGGAGCATCGCTGGGCATGCTGACATCGGTCGAATCATCGTGATCGGTCTGAAACAGATTGTTTCCGAACCGAACCGAACTCCTTCGCGCCAATTGTAACCGAGAATTCACAACCGTAGGGTCAGAAACCGGGGCACGTTCACCTCCATCCTCAACACGGGTGGAGTCAGCGGAGTTAGAAGCGAAAGAAGCGCGGCGCGACAAGTGCGATCTGTTACCATGAACGTTAACATCAGAAGCCGGGATATGAACCGAGGAGGTCCAAGCAGCGCCCGCTCGCTTGAGGCGGAGCTTGTCCCGAAACGTTTTCCAACTCTTCTTGTCTTTGGTGGGCCCATCCTCCCGAATGATATCCAGAAGCGTACGGTTCTGAGTTGGCGGTGGTTCAGGGCGCTTGGCGTTTCCCAAGATGGCGTCGAGAGTTAAACCGGCCAGACCGTTCCGACCGTCGTCAACCGCCGACATCTGCTCAAAAAGTGTAAGCCTCCGGTTACTACTTTCCATCGCATTACAGTTAAAAAGAATTTGAACAGTCTGGCATTAGCAATATAAAATTTATGGGGAAAATAAAACAAGGATGGAGGAAAGCTGCTAGACGCTTTGGAAATCAAAGAGGAAGAGAAAAGGGGGGAGTTTACGTTGGTTATAGCTTAGAGAGAAGAGGCATCTCTGGTAAATTAACCTGGAAATCATGATCATAACACATTAAAAGAATAATATAAAATTAAAAAAACATCGGATACCTTAGGTTGGCGTGGCACTTTGTAGGGTTGTACACAAACTCTGGGTGAAATTTTTTTCACAGCGTTCGATTTACTCACCTGCAAAATAGACCAAGCAGTAAAATAAATATTTTACATTTTATATTTATAAAATGAGACAACAAAATCATTTTCTCGGCTTTTATCCCAAACCAAATAATTGTAAAAGCAGAAGAATGATTCGATGGAAGAGATAAGATGCGGGGCCACGCACCGAGGGCACCTCCTTTCTTTTTTGCTTTTGCTCTCTCCTTTTATGCTTCTGGTTTCTTTTTCTTTGTGTTTTTCTGTTTTATCTGCGGGAGAGAAAGAGGAGCAAGTTTCCAGGGTTGAGCGAGTCTTACGGGGAACATGCGGGTCCCTTTATTTTATTTCCTTCCCTTGCGGGGAATTCCAATTTTAACACTTATGATGGTGTATGTAAATTTTTTACGTTAATTTGGAATATATATATATTTAAAATTGAAGTTTTTATAATATTTATATATTTGATTCATTAAATAGTATATGATTTTTTTATTTCAAAAATATAATTCGAATTTTTTTAAAATAAAAAATTAAAGTTTTTTATATTATAAAAAATTAACTATATATTTAAAGTATATAAAGACCATGAAATTTAACAGTAGAATTAATAAGATAAAATTTAATATAAAAATAAATAAGTTTTAATCCTTTTTCAAGTAATGTTATATGTTATTATATGATGAATGTCACGTCCATAATGTTAACGGAAAAATAATTATTCGTTTTGATTATTGCTTGATGTGCAACGTTTAGGCGATAGGAACACAAGAATTATTATTGGCGGCCGCAAGCACAAATTGAATACGGCAATTGATTAAGCGAGACGGGCGTTGGCTGGGGTAGCTGCCAAAACCTAAAAACCATTGTTTTGACCAGCTTTGCATTATACTCCATGCCTGGCTTCCAATCATTTCATGAACATAACTTGCCTGCCACTAGCAAAAATTTGTCCACTTTCTACAAATTCTACTTAATAGCAAAATTTCATCCACTTAATAGCCATTGGCAGGTTTCTTACGGATACGACAATTTCATTTTACAAGTAGCCTGCAAACATGAATCTCATATACATGTACACGTACAACAAAGAATTGATTTGATTATATTATATAGGTGAGAATTGTTCACCATCAGTTGACTCGACACCATCAGTTATCTTTATCTAATATTTATGAGCTCACATGTATAATTTAATAGCTTCATGGACCACTCCATATTCCTAATATTCTTTTGCTCTTTTTTATTATTATATGATGGGAGTGGTCACCTATAAGTTTTGTAGCCCATCTTGAAAGTTTTTTTTTTTTTTTTTGTAAACCAATTGCAGCGACTGCTTATAAAATTAATAATAGATCTATAACACTTCTTCTTCAATGCTAAGAGCATAATTTCTTCATTCGAATATCTTTCATTCTCTAATTAAATAAAAATAAAATTCATAAAAAATTTGTATTTATCTAAAATTAATTGCTCCTTTGTGAATTTTAGCCTTTTTAATATTGGGATGTGTAAAGGGTTTTTTATGAAAAAAAAAAAAAGTGTTGTAAACAAGTAAAAAGATGTATCGAGAGCAACGGAGAGGAAAATTGAAATAATTTTTAAAGTACTAAGTGTTTTAAAGTATAGACTATCGTGATAGGTGAAAAACTAATGAATATAAAACAATTAAAGAGAAGCTTTGGAAAAGGTCCATCCAACTGAATTGAGCATGCTCTCATATAGTGTTAGAAGAGGTCATTACTCAAGAATGGGCTTTAATGCATAGAATGAATAACAATATTAAAAAGAGCTTTAATGTACATTATAAGGTAAGAGAGAAAATGTGTATGTGAAAATGTACAAGAAAACAAAATAAGAGAAAAATGTGTATGTAAACAGGTATGAGAGAACAATGCAAAGGTGAGCGAGAGAAACACTTGTATTTGAAAATGATACAAGAGAATAAAGAAAGAGGGAGAGACACTTGTACAGAAAAATATTAAAAGGAAGATCTTTTAACTATCTCCATATCTAAGCCATCAAGCTAAACTATTTGGAACATCTCAAGGTGAAAGTAATTTAGGAATCTTACAACTTATTTTTGGTTGCTTTGACTGCTATCCACATGAAGTAGTTATTTTACGCAAAGTAGTTATTCTACTTATATTATTGTTGTTCTGTGTGAAATAGTATTTCACTTTTTTTTAAAATTTGAGAAAGGGAGATTCGAATTCTACTTTTAGGTAGATGATCATACACCAATTAATAAGTCAAATATTCGAATGCGAAATAATACTTTACTTATTTTAAGTATTCTCACTATTTTTTACATAACATTATGCTATAAAAACAACTCTTAAAGAGAATAGGTAGTTACCAAATTTAACTATCTACAAAAGATATCATAAGTTGGTCTAACTCTTCTTATCATTTTGAGTTGAATGAAGCAACCAATTGGGTTGTAGTGATGTCTTGCAAAAAGATACACCTTTTTGGATTAGGTGGCTTTACCTTTTCTTTTTTTGGTTACCTGTTTTGCTATGTAATGAAAAAACAAAAAAAAAAATCATCGTATGGTACATATATGAAGATGAATTATTAAAAAGGAGGAAAAAATCTTAAATTTTACACTATGCTTTTGTAGGATATATACTTGGTTTTATAAATTACAAAAACACATAGTTTTACTTGTAATTTGGAAACTTATAGAAAAGTATATGAAAAACTTATAAATTATTTTGATAATTTGAAAAAAATTTACAAAAAGTATGGAAAACTTATTATAAAAGTGCTTTTTTTTCAATTGTAATTTTTACTTTTCTTTTAACAAATTTCAAAAAGGTATTTAAAATTTATTAAAAAGTTATCCTTTTTAGTATTTTACCTTTTCATCTGGCAAATTACAAAAATATATGAAATACTTATAAATTTATTTATTTTTTATAACTTTCCTTTCGATTTGGTAAATTATAAAAAGTAAAACAAAACACTTTTTAAAATATGATTTTCTTTTTGGTAATTTGCCATAAAACAAGGAAGGTAAAATATAAAGCCTTCCAATTTTAGATATTTATAAATACTTTCTATATCATATTGTCATGACCCAAACTTGTAAGTCATGATTGGTGCAAGAGTATGATAAGAAAGTCCCACTTAGTCCAAACAAACCTCAAAACATATGAATCTAAATACTCAAAACACATCATGGGACGTATCTATTAGTATAAGCCCTACGAGCCAATCTGTGGTTGTATGGGAATTGTAATTTTGAGATATTCATGTATAACATTTTGTTATTCATAATAACATTGAAGTAGTTCTTTATCCATAAGTTTATGATTTAATTACTTTTTGTATTTATGTAGATAAAGCCTATGAAACTATACATGCCTTGCAAAGGAATTGTATTGGGATATAACTATGAGATCCTTTTGCATTAAAGTATTGTTCCTAAAAGTTCCTTATCATTGTATTATTGAGACAATGTATCAATAATGCTCAAAGATTGACACATGTTATGTTCTTTACTTGTGAAGTAAGCAATCATTTTCATAGGTTGAAGTATAGAGATACTTGAAGCTAGCATGTGGGTGCTTGCTATGGGAGAGCGAGTTCACTGAATATGATCCGTCATGAAAAGTGCATTTGGTACCTCACTCAAGTGTCTATATAATACTTCTCATGTGTCAGTTGTGTAACTACTCGCTAGACTTGAGACATCAGGTTATTTTGTATGTGAAGTATTGTATTTTGATTTCATCTTTATGGCTGTCTAACCAAGGATGCCAAAACAGGATGTTTTTGGGTATAGTATGAAGCATATAAAGGCAAATGAGTGGTTAATATAAGAATCATCACCTCAAGTGATTCAAGGGAAAATATCTCTTTAGTTCTTGGTTGACATTAACTTAATCAAATCCTTGGCCAAAGTGATTAGGAGATTATGAAATGAGCTTTATAAGTCTTCATAAAGCTAATAATCTAACTGCAAGAACAAATATGGAGGTCAATAAGAGTAGGCACTGCATCAAACTCTTATCATCTTTGGGATATATGATGAGGGAATGAATTATACTGAAAAACTATACACTGAAAAATTATCAAAGAATCTTTTGACTCTCCTAACAATTAGGTGGCCATGATGAGTTGCTAGATGCCAATCATGGTCTATGGAATTGAATTAATTAATTTAAAATTAAATATGATTTATTTAAATTAATTAATTAATTAATAATATTATAATTCAATTCCATTGCCAACATGTTAGGAACCTAATAGGTCACACACAAAGGTTGCAATTTGAATTAAATTGAGAGTGTGATGATTTAAGTTATACTTAAATCGAATTCTAGGTTTTAACTACTAAGGACCTAATTAAAAGAGTTTAATTAGGTATTAGTTAAATATTATAATTGTTATAATATTAAGGACTTATTTTATAAATTTTTATAAGTTAAACTTAGATATAAATATCACATTATAGCCACTCTTTCTTTTTGGAAGTGAGGAAGGAAACAAAATAAAAATTTCTTTTTTCTCTCTTGAGTGCCGCCATTCTTGAGAAGTTTAATTTTATTTTGAGAACTACTCTTTTGATCCTTTACTAGAAATTAAAGAAAAAAAGAGGACAAATCATTGTCCATTTGCTAGCATAAGCTTATGGCATAAAGCTCTTTCCTTGGGACGGATCCGTTGTAATAGTGTGTGCATCATAGGAGGCCAAGTGACTGAGTGGCTCGGATTCTTTTATACAAAAGGTGTGCACCTTTTGTCACCAAAAGGAATCCATTTGATTACAATATCACTTGAAAAAGTAAAATTTTTTGATTTTATGTGGTACTTAACTTTGCATTAAACAACTAAGGAGATCCAAAGATAGGAGGCATATTTTATTTCAATTTTTGTTATTCCGCTGCGTTGATGTTGTAATCATGTCGTTCTTAGCAATATCACCATGGAATCATTTACAACGCATGCATACTTACATTTATATCAAATATTAACAAATATCAATTTGCATGGCCTCACGCTTAAAGTGCAAAAGCAAATACAAGTCTAACATTCAATGTAAGCCATCTTGTGACAACCCAAACTATAACATTTATTACATTAATCCAAATATAATCCAAAATCCATAACAAAGTATGACCCAATGTTTGATTAGTGGAGTATGACTCAAAGGTAAGGGTTGACATTTATTGGATGCCTTATCAATGACCTACCAAATCCATTGATCAACCACAATCCTAGGAAAACCTATTTAGTTCATCATATTCTCAACAAACATCATCCACAAAAAGAAACCATAAATTTTTGCAGCTTTTTGAGCTTTGATCTTCTTTTCTTTCTTTTCATTTCTTCTTTTGTTTATGGTTCTTTTTCCTTTGAAGAGTTGCTCTAACCTCTTTCTCCTTTTTTTAGCTTAAAAGGTCCTATTTATATCACATATTTAAAAGCCTTAATTAAAAAAAATGAAGTTGCAGAAAATGGAATTTCTCGCGTTGGTGTTGTGGCAACAAAGGATTGGTGCCTTATGCCTTCCAACATTTGTGCTATCCTTACTACAGTTTAGTCACTTCTCATGCGATTTTGACCATAATGATTAGACCTGAGTGAAGTGATAAATATGAAAAATTGTAACTCCTCCTCTTAGTTTTGCAATTGCCAAAAATCACTATTATCAAACTTTTGTAACTTGAGTTGCACTTAAAACACTGAGCATGTTTAAGAGACACTTTAAGCTTTTTTGCATGATTCATCATCCATTGAGCTCTCTTGCATATAAAAACCTCAAATAACAATGGGATCAAGTCAATGATGGCTTCATTTGGAATTTTTTTATCATGGAATTAAATTAAAATCACTTGAATTAAAATAATTAAACATGCAAGAAACTTATTAATGAACAAGCATAAAAATTACCTAAATGCAACTTAAAAACACAAGAAATTAGTTCATTATATGCCCAAAAATAGGGCAAGATAACTCAATATAATAGAGTTATCAACTTTTCACTTTGTGAACCTATTTCATACTTATTTGATGAATTGCAAGATGCCTTTGAAGAACTAGCTTGTGAAATTGAGAAAATGAATTTGAAATACAAGAAAATTATTTCAAAATTTAGTGTTGAAAATTAATTTTTGTTGAAGGAAAAAAGTGATTTAGAAAAGGGAAATGAAATATTGAAAATTGATTTTGAAGTTTCCCAAAAGAAAATTGATGTTTTAGAAAAGAAGAATTTAAATGTGAAAATGAAACTTGAAGATTTGGCAAATAAAAATAAAAAAGTTTTCATGAATTCCTCATTTTCAAAGATGACCAAATGCAATTATTGTAAATTTCATGATTATAATTCATTTGCTTGTCCTATTAGAAAACATCAATCTTATAGGATTAGACAAGTGAACTTTGTGTAATGACACTACCTCTCAAGGATTCAAAGCAATTTAGATATTAAAAATCAAGTGAAAAGTGTGTAGGTGCACTAGTGCAAAGAGAAGCAATATCTTGAAGATTAGATTCTCTTTAGTCACATACAATGGAAAATAAGTGATTTCTATTCCAAAAGTTATTTATTTGTCAAATGTGAAAGTTTGGTTGCTTTTTCTTATTTCTTTGATTTTCATTAGTGTAGCTTGATAGTGACAAATAATTTGATATATGAGTGTATATTGCACATTTTCCTCATACTTTATGAAATTTGATTTGATATCTTTAAGAAAAATTAATTTTTTATAATCTTGAGTGTAAAGGGTTTGATGTTGATGGTATGATGGCAGTACGAGTTTACTCGTTTGATTTGTATTTTTATCTATTCTAGTAGTTTGAAAATGAAAAATTGAGTTTGAAGAGTTGATTTTACAATTTTCTTGTGCCCATGATTAAGCGGCCACTTGAACAACTTTACTTTGTCACTTAAGATTTATTTAAATAGTTTAAGATGATTAAAAATGAATTTGATAAGTTTTGATTGCTTGAATTGGTACTTTTCAAGCAAAAATGAGCTTATAAGTGAGAAATGTTTGCTATCACTAAGTTTACAATAATATATAATTTAAACAAATTTGTTTTAGGATAAAAATACTTATTGGATATGCATGCTTACTTAAAAAAATTGAATGATGAAAAGGGCATTTTTGGTTGGTGGGTAAAATGGGAGAAATGGAGAAAAAAGAACAAAGAACAAAGAAAAAAAATGAAAAAACCGAGAGAAATGAAATAAAAAATTTCACCTAATTCAATATTAGTATTTATTAGCTCACATGTGTTTCTCACTTGTCGCTAGCTAGCTGACGCATAACATCAAAAAATGACTATTTTCATTATAACATTGAGTTTATAAGACTTATAAAATAACATTTTGAACTAAAAAAACTAAAATGATATGCATCTCAAGATTCGAGAATAAAAAAAGTAATTTACCTTTTCAATAATAAAACTTGGCGCAAATGAAAATCAATAATAAAGGGGAAAATGATCAAATTTACCCATATACTATATTGAGGGTCCATATTTATCATTCAAGTTTTTTAAAGTGAAACCCTAGTCACGGATGGATTCAAATAGAATATTTGATCAAACCTTTTTTTTTTTTTTTTGCTATGTCATTTTAATATTGGGAAATATTTAATTAATTATATGTAGTAAAATGGTAAGTTTGACTCTTTTTTTTTTCCAATAAAGAGTAAGCGTAAAGAAGACAGATTTGGAGAGTAGAAAAATGTAAGCCCAACAGAAACGGCCCAAATCCAAATTCAACACCCAAAGGCGGTCAACAGAGAGGAGATTACTCCCAATGTGGGTATCTAGTTTTCTACAAATCGGAGGGCTGTCAATTGGCATCCAGCTAATAAATCATTAAATAAATAGTGTTGGTAATTTAAAGGAGTATTATGATTGGTACACGTAAGAACGGAATATGTGCGGCTTCTTGAGTCTTCCACAGATCTACTGGCTCACAACTCGACAACTCTCTTCCTTTTAGGCCTCTCGCTTCTGTCCCGCAGTCCACGCCTTCTTCCTCCTTTTGCCTGAACCAAAGGTAATTTTTCTTTCTCATTCTCTCTATTATTTCTCTTTTGTTTTTTGGTTGCCCTGATCTTCTTTTAATTGGTTAATTGATTTATCTGTCGTGTGAATTTTTCAGGGCTTAATCTTCGCTAATCGTTGTGTGGTTTCCGAGATTCGACAATGACTCATATCCTTTAATTTGTTTAATTAATGGAAAATTCGTGAATTTTTGGGACTTAATTGTTAATATAAATTAAGGTGTTGCTATTTTTGTTAATTCTTTAACTTAAGCTAACGCGGTAACCAGAGAGACCGAGATCGAGAAAGGGCTCAAGCCAGAACAGGCAACAAAGGCAAGAGTGTCAAGGACGATGGGCTAACCCCTGAACAACGCCGTGAAAGGTTTCCTTCTTTTTTCTTTTTTTTTTCTCTTTTTCTTTTAATTTTCTTAATTTTATAAAATTCGGGTTGATGTTGTTCTGATTTTGGGAATTGTGTCCTCTTTTTTTATGGGCAGAGATGCAAAGGCCTTGCAAGAAAAGGCCGCAAAGAAGGCGGCGCAGGCAGCGGCCGGAGGGAACAATGCGGGCGCTGGTGCAGGAAGTAAAACCAAGAAATAATAATGTAATGTTGGTGAAATGATATAGGGTGGAGGGTAAAGATCGTGTTATATACGTTGATTGGGGAATCAGATCTTTGGGTTTCTTTTTTGGTTTTCAGAGTCTCTGTCTATGTCGTTTGAAGGTTAACAAACTCTTGGTGTGTTTGTTTAATTGGCATTGATGTTGACTCTTAAATTTTCTATCTGATTGGGAATGGAATTGAATTTCTATGTAGCATGCTGCAATTGATGCTTTCTTTAACTGTAATTATTGATTCCCTCCTTTCGTTTTTTGATCATCTTGTCCATTTGATTGTTTTCCTTTTTATTGCATAGTGCTTGTATGAATTTGTTTTGGGATGCTTTGGGCATTGAGGCTGGGGTATACCTTTACAGTTGTTTGCTTACTGTAAGAAAGCATACTTAGGTTAAATGATGGATAAAATCTTTGAAATTTCCTCAGGATTATGATTCATAAACTGTTTTTTTATGGCAGCGGCCTGATTAATGTTATTGGTGAGTAAAACTTGTGTATTTGGATACCTTTTCCTTCCTTCTTGAAACTGATTGATCTGTGATAAAATTTCTAATTTTTATAGGGATTGAATTTCTGATAGTTGAAAATCAAATACAAGTGTTGGAATCTAGTTTACTACATATATGGCCTGCATCTTCTCCTGATAATTGAAACGTATGTCCTTTTGTTGTTACGATCATGATGGTTGGGATTCCATATTAAGGATCACCTTGTTCAAGAGTAAGCTGAGGCTGAGCATTGGTCATAAACTGTGAGATTGATGAGAATTAAATATCTGCATCACCAATATACATCTGTGGCCAATTCAGTAGGTTCTTTGGACCCGTTTTAGTTGTGAAATGATTGCATCCTACAATTGAGGATGGATAACCATGACAGGCTGTGTTTCTCAAGCATTTACTGCCTTTGGTCTTCATTATTGTGTTCTTCAATGTTGATGTCCTTCAAGTAAGAAATAGTGATCTTTAAAACGGATCATTTTAATTTTTTATATCAACTTTTCAAATATTATAGTAGAAAGGGTTTTGATGAATAAATTTGCTAGATTGTTACTTGAATGAATTTGTTGAATATTAATATTATTATTTTTTTGAAAATCATGAGCGAAAGAATTTTGGTGAAATATGTGTTGTTCTAAAGTCCGAACTAGTTGAATACTTGTTTCAGAAATTCTCTGAGTCGGTTTTTCATTTCTATAAGGGATATAATTGGCAACTCGAAGTTACATATTATATCTTTTATTTAACTGTGTTATGCAATTGGTATTATTTTCATATAAAGTTGTTGAAATTTCTTTCTTAGTAGACAAGTCACACTTTTTTCCAATATGTTAAGTTACAAATTTTAATTAGATACATTCACAACTTGTCTTATGTATTTTTAAAATTTTTGTAAAGTTAAAAGAAATAGCAAATATAGTTTGTTTTACGAAATATCATGAAATAGTCATACTTTAACATATAAATAAGTAACTTGTATGGGGTCGATCTTTATGTAGAGTAGATAAGTATTTTGCATCTGCATAATCAATTAAATTTGATTTTGATATATTTGAGAATATAAGCTTATGTTCATTATTTTTTAAAGATATCGAAGTATATGTTTAATTTCATTCCAATATTTTTGAATTGAAAGAGAATTATATATTACTAATAAATTTATAGCAAATGATATAATAGGTTGTTTATTACTAGTAAGATAGATTAGTGTTCTAATTACACTAAAATATGATATTTCAAGATCAAGAAGTTTTCCATCATGTTCACGAAGTTGAAAAATATTTTTTTTCACATCAAATGACTTTACAATTATTAGTGAATTTAATGGATGTTTTTTATTCATATAAAATTATTTTCGTATTTTTGTTATATAATTTGATTGATGGATAAAAATTTCGTTTGTCAAATTCTCAATCTGAAAACTCAAATAAAAATTTGGTTTTTTAAGGTTTATCATCTCAAAGTCTTTTTTTTAATAATCTATAGTTTTAATAATTTTTTAAAAATTCTAATAATGTTTAGATCATTAATATAAACAGCAATTATCACAAATTTATATCTAAATTTTTTTATAAAAACATATGAACATATAAGATCATTTTTAGAACATTTTTTTAACAAATATTCACTAAAGTGATTACACCATATGCGTTTGGATTACTTTAATCCATATCAAAGCTTTAGAGATTATAGAATCGCAGTAATAATTTGTTATAAAATATAACTAAAAAGAACAATTATAAGAGAACTATAAGAGAAAGTATTTAGAGGAGTAAGAAGATCTTATTCAAGTGTGTATTTACAAATAAAGTGAAGGGTTTATTTATAAGCTAATAACTCCTCATCTAGATAAAATTTACAACATGAAGATAATACTAAAAGATTAGATAAATGAATTGAATTCTAATCTTAATCCAATCTAATCTACATCTAAATCTAGATATACATAACATATATGGATATTCCTAATATTGTCCTAGTTTATTCTCTCGTCACATGCTTACACACCTACTTTAGTTTACAACTGACTTCACTTGGCCTTGAATCAATCTCTAATTCAAGTCATTTTGAAGTTGAAATTGAGCTTCAATTGGCTTGTAACTGCAACTCACTCAAGTTGATTCACTATCAAACATAGAATCGATTTAACATCAATTTATTTACAATTGAAATAATCTTGTCATCACCTCTAAAAGAGTTAATTTGGATCATTAAATAGTGTTGAGGGTCTTGGAAAGATTGAAGGTTGTTCGTTTTCACATATGGAATTCAGTTTTAGTACTCATTTTAGACAATGAGACCATTGTCATCTTATGGCTTATGTCTTAGAAAGACTGTAAAAAAATATTTATTATTCAAGGAGTTAGATCTTCTTACTAAGAATATTACTAGATTTTGTTTTGTCCATAGTCCCGATGAAGCCAATTTCTTTACTAGCTCACTCACTAAAGAAGGGGTTTAAAGAGTAGAAGAATTAGTTGCTTAGATTTCTTAATTAACTCACTTTCTAGTCTTGAGATCAAATTTTCTAACTTTTAGAAGATCGTTGTTTTGTGCAATTATGCTCACTTTTTACTTTGTATTTGCCCTATAATCAACCATTCTTTAAAAAAAATGGTTTTGAGGGCAAAATGAGATGAAAGATGGATTATAATAATTGAAAGTGTTTTTGTTCTAAATGCTATAAGCATGTGGTGTTAACTTTGGGTATTACGTACCTTTCATGTTAGTGAAGGGGTTTAGCGGGCTTTTAGTTTATTAGGCTTCAAGCCCACCAATATGATCATATTGTATAATATTTACGTTCCAACTCTTATGGGTGAGGGTGATTATAAAGTGATCATGCTTGATGTAAGGTAAATTGCCTTTATATTTGATGTAGAAACAATTTTACAATTTTCATCGTTCAAAAATTCTATAATTCTGTCAAAACAATTTTCAATTTATATTCATGAAAAATTAAAATAGCAAATAGCAAATAGCAACTAGAATGAATCAAATTTAATCTTAAGCTTCTTTTATATATTATCAATATAATTAAGAATGCAATACATTAAATTGGTGGTCAATTACATATGAAAATAATTAAAACAGAAGAGGACATCAACTTGTCCAAATTTGAACAATTTTTTGATAATGATTTTTGAAATTCCTTTTGAAATCTTTTTGCGCCAAATCAATTTATAATCAATCATAATCGAAGTCAATATAAATTTAACATAAAATCCATAAGTCAAAGGAAGCTCTAATACCAATGTTTGGAAAAAAAAAAGCAATCCAATCACAAGTACGACAAAAATTTAAAACTTTTACCTAAGGTAGAATCAAACTTTAGTTATCTAACATAGACAAACACTAACTAGAAGAATAAGATCATTATACCTTCTACCCTTGGACTCATAATCACAAAATATTTAAGCACAATTTCAATCTTTAACACCAAGCACGAATTGTAGTAAACCACAAGTTCTCTAATTGTATAACCTCCAATGGTGATCCACATAAATGATAATTGTGAATAACTTCAAACGAGATTGTGTTTGTTTATGCTTGCAAAGTTTAGTGCTAATTAGGAAAGAGGTAATCAAAGTTCTCTCTTCAAAAGGAAAAGTCAAAACACTATCAGCAATAATGGGGAATACCAATTAGTAGCAAAAAAATAAATTTTCTAGGCTAAGTGTGATTTGTAAGCCTTCTTCTTCTTTATCAATATATAGGGTTTTGGTAAACTATTGTTTAAACCTCAACCATTTAGGGAAATACCAAAAGTCATCACTCAAGGGGCAAAAGGAAGATGAATCAATGGCTCACAAGGTTAAGTGGACAAGGCAACTTTCAAGCTTTTCCTTTTTTTGTTAAATTCTCATCTCTTTTGCCTTTCAAGGTTTTTGGTTGTTTATGGATTGCTTTCAACAACAAGTAGTGTTGATTGCAATGCCTCTCAAGTGCAACATAACCTCATAACTTTTATATTAATTGCAAAATTACCTTATGATTAATTGAAATATTCAACTAAGTCCTTGAAGTTCTTAACTTTTTTCAATTAAGTAGAACTTAATTAATCAATTTTCATTCTCAATTAACATTCTGTAATGTGTATGTTCTATTAGACTTATATCATGTTGGCTATAAATATAAGCTATAATCCAAGTTAAACTAGGATTAGATGAATTGAACTTTTTTGCATTCATCATCAATTCCTTAATTGATTAGTTCATATTTATA